TACTGTCTAAATTTCAAATGTACAGTGGTATGCATTTCCCAGCTTGTTGTTTCTAGGTACTATCATATTATGAAGGCTATTTCATAATCTATATAGGCCTAATAATGAACACAAATACATACATACGCCCCTCCAAAAAATACTCATGCTTCCCCAGTCCCTCCTTCCCCACTAAAAATGTCATACTTTAAGTAGTTAAAAATCACAAAAAATTACAGTATTTTGCAAACTAACGTCCCTCACAAATTATGAAGCCTCCTTCCCGTCACCCATCAGCCCCACCCCCTCCAATTTCAATACTCCTAAATACACCACTTTATATATAATATATATATATATATATATATATATATATATAAGAAGTCAAGAAAGCTCTGTTTCAAAATAAAAATGTAATATATAGGTCATCATCATAATATATTTAAGTAATTTGAAATTAATTTGCTCAAGGTAGCAAACTTGAGCATATAGCATTATAATTGCTGTCTCTTATACACATCTAGATGTGAGCATTTTGTAACTCGCAACTCGCATTTTGTAACTCGCAACTCGCATTTTGTAACTCGCAACTCGCATTTTGTAACTCGCAACTCGCATTTTGTAACTCGCAACTCGCATTTTGTAACTCGCAACTCGCATTTTGTAACTCGCAACTCGCATTTTGTAACTCGCAACTCGCATTTTGTAACTCGCAACTCGCATTTTGTGACTCGCAACTCGCATTTTGTAACTCGCAACTCGCATTTTGTAACTCGCACCTCGCATTTTGTAACTCGCAACTCGCATTTTGTAACTCGCAACTCGCATTTCGTGACTCGCAACTCGCATTTTGTGACTCGCAACTCGCATTTTGTGACTCGCAACTCGCATTTTGTAACTCGCAACTCGCATTTTGTGACTCGCAACACGCAACTCGCAGAAAAGAAACCCTCGGTGCAACCAGAAACGTTTTATAGTTCGATGGGAAAATTATCTCTCACGTAGTTTAAAGGTCACAAATGGAGTGAGACAAGAGGAATTATGTCACCCTTATTATTTTTCATTTTATTTATTTTTCATTTCCAGGCGCAAACTATAATAACATACAGTAACTTCAAAAAGGTTTGACATGAAATAGAAAATACAGTGACATAAAACAGGGCCAGAGGATTGCTTTAAAAGCGATCTAAATCACTGTCTTAAAAAAGCGCTACAAAAATGACAATTACACCTATAGAATCGGTAAGAAAATTATCAATACTCGAAAAAAAAAAATAAATAAAGAAAAATAAATAAACCGTGCAACAACAACAACAACAAAACAATTACAAAATATTCTAAGAATTTCAATTAAAAAAAAAATCATAAAGTTAATTTTAATATTCCATATATACAATTATATCAACATTATTTTACAAGGAAATATCGAAATTAATAAAAGATCAATACAAAAGCACAACGAACATTTACAATTGATTACCATATTATCAAATAGGCCTATTCTTATTTACAAATAAAGTGTATCTCTCATATACTGTAATCATGGAGGAATAAATAAGGTTTATTTATTCCTCCATGCTGTAATGATGACCTGAGTATTTTGTTGTGAAAGTAAATATGAGTGTTTGTACATTATCATGTTAAGCTGACGATGTGGTTTTTTTTTTATCACAGACATCTGGTTTCCAAAATAAAACTGGTATGTGAACGTTTGAAGTTTGGTAAGGCGTTTGAGCCCACGTTAGCGTTAGCACTGGAATCATCGAAAACCGTGGATTTCATCAATTACTTAAGCTGTGAAAATCCAGAATAGTGTTGTTAATATAACCACAGAGGTCAATCTAAACTACTCTCTCATGAATATAAACCCATTAATCAGTTATAGCATGGAGAAAATAAAATTTATTTTCTCCATGGTTATAGTATAGACTGGTCTCACAATTAAGCCTGCCAATCAAACGCTGTATTATACTGATTGGCCAATGGCAGTAGCAATTACAGATTGCAAAAGTCACCAAAGCACTGTTTGACCTTGATATTCCCATATGAATAGAAGGGGTGTCTATAAAACGAAGACCGAAGACCGAAGACCCAAAAACGAAGACCCCTATTTTTTCTATTTAATTTTGATGATAATGAACCTGGCTGTCACAAAATCAAAATTACGACATTTTTTGGGCGTCTGTTTGTGAAATATTCATTGAGGATGCACTCTAGGTGGGAAAGGAAAATATAGCACTGATAGCACATTGTTTCTCTATTTTGAGCATGTGTACATCTTGGTAGCACATTATTTTTAATTTGATAGCACATTCCATTGGTAGCCCCTTTCAATGTACTATCCGATTTTAAATAGTGTCCATCTGAAATAATGTTCAACTTATTTGAAATATTGTATTAGTGCTATCGATTTTTATGCATTGTTTAAAGTTGGGTAGCACACTGTTTAAAAATGGGTAGCACATTTCAAATATGCCTAATATCGCTCTGTTTCTTCGGGCAGTACTTTAATTCAAATTGATAGCACACTATTTCACATACGTATAATATATAGACCGTTTAAAATTGGGTAACACATTTCAAATATATAGCGCATTGTTTCTCAGTTTGGGCAGTAGGCCTACTGTACATCTCAAATTATTGAATAATGTTTGATTAATGCATCATTCAATGTGATATCCGATTTTAAATAGTGTCCATTTGAAATAGTGCTCTATCTATTTGAAATACTGTGGTGTGCTATCGATTTTATGAACTGTTTAAAATTGGGTAGCACATTGTTTGATGGGTGGCACATTTCAAATGGGTCTAGGTTACTTCAAATAGATAGCATGTTTGTTGTACAGTGTATAATTTGAACGAATAAATGTGGTTTATTGTGGGCTAATTATTTTATTTGTTTACCAAACTTTGAAAAGACTACGTATCCTTTCTATAGAAATGAAGAATCTTAACAGAATGTATTTCATCAGTAAATATATTTAGTATCAAGTATATATTATTTTTTTTCTGTTCGACTTGGGTACAGATTTCGCTTAAATGCAGACCTTTAAAATGAAATAATCGACTTATATCTCTTCTCATCAAGTCTATTAAGTTTTTTAATAATTAATTTTTATAAACACAATCTGGTTTGAAAAAAAAGAAGGCAAAAACGTTTTCTGGTGTAATACTACAGTAATGAGTATAAAGTAAGTAGGGCATAGACAACTGTAAATAATATTACTTCGTGGATTGGTATGTAGGCCAATAATTTTGTGCATATCTCCATGGAATCAGTGGATACTCTAGATGACCTCCATATGGGCGGACCTGTGGTAACCTGTCACATCCAGACAGTTACCCGACAAGCCAGATTAATTACCTCTGTGTATTCAAACAAGCCACATCATAAACCAATGGGTAAATCCTAAAAGTAACGCTAACATGGGCTCAAACGCCTAATGCCGATTGGTTTCAAACTTGCCGGAATGCAAGACGGAGCCTAGCTATTAATACATAATTATTCTGTACTTGCATTGTATCCACCATAACTATTTTCTTTAGGCCTTGCAGCCATTAAAAAAAAAATTACAGCAATGTTTTTCCTATCTGACTATTCGAAAATACAATGGTTGTTACAATGGTATATATAACAAAAATACTTAAAAATAAAGAGAATTAAATATTGGCATTAAATTAGGCAGGCAGTGCACTGTCTCTTATACACATCTAGATGTGTATAGGGAAGCCAAGCCAGAGCATTTATACGATTTTAAAAGCATGTACATGTCATTTAAATGCATGTTCATGTATATTTAAATACTTCTGTACACAATTTTAAAAATAAGATAAGAAGACTACTTTTTCCAATACATGACTTAGAACGTAAATGTTTATTGTGAAACAAACTTTTTTTTTAATTAAAAAGCAATGCTTAACATTTTAATGCTACTATGTAATGTTATCTCTAAAAATATAACTGGGATAAAATTAGCAATACCCACTAGGTGACTATACAAAACACAGACCTTGCACATTATGAGATCGCTAAATACCAATACAGTATTAAAATATGGAGGTATGTAAAAGGTCTTTGCTTAAAAGAGAAATATTGCAAATAATATTTTATTTATTGCAGAAATGAAGAAACAATAGGAACTGACAGCCCTACATTTTACTTTTTTACCAAAATAACTTAAATGTTAAGTTCCAATGGAAATATATATAATTAGGGCAAGGGAAAATGTTATTATATTTACAAGTTACAGAACCATTTGTGTAAATATACTTGCACAGTAATATTGAAGAAAAAAACAGACATAATTATAATGCTACAAGTGTACATGTTTAAGAACCAGTTTATGTAAAAAAAACTT